GTTTCAAAATTTAGTTTCAAATTCCACACCTTTTATCAAAATTTTTGCCTCTAAAGAATGAAAGTTTATTTTCTTTCTTTCTTTTTGTTAATTTAATTTTATTTTTATTCCTCTATTTTATTAAATAATTTTATTTATTATTTTATTTTATTATACAAAAATTATACAAAAATTTTATTCTTTCTTCACTTTTATTTCGTTCCAGTGATTCAAAAACAAACATTTTTGAATCAATGGGATTTTTATTCCGTTCCATTGATTCAAAAATGTTTGTTTTTGAATTTCTTTTATTGATTCAATAAAAAAATTATTTTCAAAAATTTTCCCAGAATTTTTCACGAAACATTGTCAACTAAATAAAATTAAAATTATTTAAAAAATTATTTTAAAAAATTAAAAAAAAATGTAAAAAATTATTTATTTTTTTCATTGACTCAATAAAAAATTATTTATTTTTTCTCATTGATTCAATAAAAAATCATTGATTTTTTTTCATTGACTCAATAAAACATGATTTATTTTTTCTCATTGATTCAATAAAAAATTATTGATTTTTTTTCATTGACTCAATAAAAAATGATTTATTTTTATTATTGATTCAAAAATATGTCAAAAATAAACGTTTTTGAATTTATAGAACAGAGTAAAAATAAAGAAACGGAGAAAAAGAGGGGAAAAGATCAGAAAAAATAAAAACAAAGAAAAGAAGAAATAGAGGAAAAAGAAAAAAAAATAAAGAAAAGAAGAAAAAAAGGAAGAAGAGAAAAATAAAGAAAAGAAGGAGCGGAATAAATTCGAATAATTGAAGAAAATTTTCAACTTGACAAAAAAAAGTAGAAGGAGAGTGAATAATTTTCTTTTTTGTCTAGAGGGTAGTGTAAAAGAGAAAAAGAAAAATTGTTAGATGTTGATCCAAGTGGTATTAAAGAACGAGAGTCTACGTACATAAATTTATTACAAGATTACCCGCAATAGGTGCCAACAAGCTCGAGGGCATTACGTGAAAAAAAAAAAATATCGAATAAAAATTCCGATTTTCCGCATCCAAACGAGCTGCGCACTTAAGATCAGCTGTATTTTTATCTTGCAAATTATCGAGATTATTTCTAATTCAAACCAAAGTCGCCTACATTTATTATTAATATTTCTTTTTTTAATGTTGGTCTTAAACTTTTTTTTTTTTTTTAAACAACTTTTCATTCTAACTCAAAGAGAGAAGAAAATTTTACAAGCATAGTACAATCACCATAAAATTATATGTCAATTAAAATGAAGAGGGGAAAAAACAAGAAGAAAAAAAGAGAACGGAAAAAAATGAATTGAAAGAAGAATTGAAAGAAAATAAATGGAAAAAGAAAAGAAGAACAAAAAAAAGAAAATAAATGGAAAAGGAAAAGAACAAGAAAAAAAATGCAAAAGAATTTTTAAATGCAAAAGAAAAAAAAACAAAGGAGAACAGAAAAAGAAAAAATAAATAAAGAATCAGAAAGTAATAAAACAATGAATAAAATTTAAAAAGCAAAAATAAAACAACGATAAAACGTGTATAAGAAAATTCTAATGATATGAAAATGTTTCTCTCCGCATATAATACATCTTTAAAGTTTATCATGAATAGATGTATTATTTCTCATCCGCACGTTATATAACTCATTCGTATTGGTTTCTTTTTCATCTTATTGTGATATACACGTAAGAAGCAATAAATTTCAAATAAATATATTCTTCTCATCGGAGATCGCCACACCTTGTGCTGTATTGGGCATTGTATGTTAATCCAATCGTGTGGTCCATCGAAAAATAATGTTAACAATGAAGTGGAGGAGAAAAAATCAATAACAAAAAAAAAACTAAATTTTCAGTAAAATCAAACAAAAAAGAATTTTTTTTCTATTTTTATTTTACTTTCAATATAATTATATTTTTATATTTATTTTTTTCTACTATAATAATTAGTTACTTTTTACTAACTGCTGCTACTAGTTTTTTACTTTTTAAAAAGTCAGCCAAGACTTCACCGCAGGGTGTCAACTATTTTCGTTCAACAAAATTTCCGGCTTTGTTCTAATTTTTCCCGGTTTTTTTTTCTCATCAAATTTAAATTTATTTGATTTCAGACTTCGCACTCGATAATTAATTTTCAAAAAGTAGCTTTCAAACTAAAAAAATTAGTAAAAAAGTAGTTATCGAAAAATTAAACTTGACGACCAAAAAAACTCGTTTTAGACACTTCACAAAACTGACAAAAATTTAAATCCATATTTTTTATTTTCCTCACTTTATCCTAATTTTCATGAAAAATATTTAATTTTTTCTTATCCTGCTAATAAATTCAATCCCTGCAACGAATTTTATTACTCATTATAGAATTTAAATAATTAGAAGAATAATTTAATTCTTGCGAAAAATTTTATTATTAATTTTTAAATAATTCATTTCTTTCGACTAATTTTATGCAAATTCTAATTTAAATAATTGAATACCTGAGAAATTATTATTCATAAAAAGAATTGAATTCTCACGAAAATTTTAAACAAAATTTTTTTTAAATAATTGAATTCTATTTAGAAATTTTATGAAAATAGTAGATATTGAAAATCATTGAATAGCGAAAAGTTTTTAAAAATAATTAAATTTTACAGAGAATTCTATTAAAATTTTTTACAAAAATTAAATTTCTGTGTGGTATTTTATTAAATTTTGTTGAAAATAATTGAATTCCTAAAAAGCATTTTATTATTTATACGAAAATATTGAATTCTTGCGAACGATTTTATTAGGATTTTTTAAAATAATTGACTATTCAAGAAAAAATTTATTACTTTTAAAAGTATTTGAATTCTTGTAATGACTATTGATATTTATAAAAATAATTTAATTTTGCAAAGAATTTTATTAAAATTTCTAAAAATAATTGAATTTACGGTAAAAATTTGGTTATTTATCAAAGTTAATTGAATTCTTTCTAAGAATTTCGTTAAAACTTTTTAAATAATTAATTATAATTCAAAAAAATTTAACTAGGTTTAAAAATAATTGAATTCTTTTCAGAATTTTTGTTAAAATATTATTGAAACTAATTGAATTCTTTCAAAGAATTCGTTAAGAATTAAATTGAGTAAAAATAATTGAACTCTTTCGAATAATTATATTAAAAATAACTAAATTTTTGCAAATTTAATTAAACTTAAAATAATTAAAAATAATTGAAATTCTGCAATGAGTTTTATTTTTTAAGAAAAAAATTGAATTTCTGGGAAGAATTTTATTATTTATGAAAATAATTGAATCCCTGTAAAAATTTTATTATTTATGAAAATAATTTAATTATTGCGAAGAAATTTATAAAAAATTTGTAACTAATTGAATTCCTGTGGGATTTTTAATATTTTATGAAAATAAAATTATAAATGTTTAAGCAGAATTTTATTAAAAAATTTTTAAATAATTGAATTTTTTTGGAAAATTTTATTAAAATAGTAAATATTAAGAATCATTGAATTGAGAAAAATAATTTTATTTTTGACAAGACTTTTATTAAAATTATTGAAAATAATTGAATTTTGAAGAAGAATTTTATTATTTCTAAAGATAATTGAAATTTTGACGAGAATTCTTTTTTAATTTTTTAACATAATTGAATTTCTGAGAAGAATTTTATTATTTATGAAAATAATTGAATCTCTGTAAAAAATTTTATTATTTATGAAAATAATTGAAATATTGGGAATAAATTTTTTTAAAAATTTGTAAATAATTGAATTCCTGTGAAATTTTTTTGCCAAGAATTTTATTAAAATTTTTAAAAATAATAGACATTAAAATTGTTGAAAATAACTGAATTGTGGAGAACAATTTAATTATTTATAAAGGTAATTGAAATTTTGAGGAGAATTTAAAAACATTTTTAAACATAATTGAATTTCTGCGAAGAATTTTATGGAAATTTATAAGAATAATTGAATTCTTGTAAAGAATTTTTGCTATTTATGAAAATAAATGAATTCTGAGAAGAATTTTTTTACAGTTTCTAAAAATAATTGAATTCTTTCGACGAATTTTAATAAAATTTTTAAGAATAATTACATTTTTCGGGGAATTCGATTAAAATTGTATTAAAAATAATTGAAATTTTGCAATGAGTTTTACTATTTAATTTTATGAAAATAATTGAATATTTTGCGAAGAAATTTTTAAAAATAAAATTATAATTACGGTGACTAACTTTCCTTGATTATTTTCGAAAAATTTAAATAAAATTCTTTTAAAAAATTTAATTATTTTTAATAAAATATAAAGAAATTTCAATTATTTCAAAAATTTTCAATTATTCGTTTATAAAAATTCAATTATCTTGAAACAATAGAATTGAAAAATTTTAAAAATCTTATTTTTCAGAATTTTGAAAAAAACTTTGCGAAAATTCAATTTTATTAAAAAAATTTAAGTGTATATCTTTTTTTAAATTTACTAATAAAAATTTTAATTATTAATCTTCACACATAAAAACATGAATACATTAGAATGTGACTCTTTATAAAATTCAATTATTTATCAATTATTAAATTAAAATACTTTGAAAATTCGATTTGTTAAAAAGTTTTTAATGAAATTCTTTAACAAATTTAATTATTTTCAGTTGAATTTCACAAAATTTCTATATTAATTCGATAATTTCTTTTTAATTTATTTACATATTATATTTGAACCAGTGACTGATTTTTTACTATCAAATTAATTATTTTTGACTAATTCATGTTCAGAGAACAGTATAAATATCTATAAAATTTTAAATAAAAAGCGATTTTTTAAAAACAAATTAAAATATAACTTTCTTTAATTTGGTGAAAAAATGCCCTGTAAAGTTTACTAACAATTATTTGTTAAAATAAAAATAGATAAAATAGTAAAAAAAATTTTTTATTTTAAAATTTGGATGATTTGAATTTTTTTTTTGCAATAATTAAGGGAAAAAATGAGGCAAAAAAGAAAAAACTTACCGGAATAATCGACAAATAGGAAAAGAGTGCCAGCATGCACGCGACTATCGCACCAGAAGTTCGAATCAGCCTGGGGCTCAAAGAGTGAAAGGTCAAGACCGTCCATGTCACTCTCACCGCAAGAATCGCTTAGTGGTTCAAATGTTCCCCTGACAAGTGGCAAATCCTCTTCCGCAAGTTCTTCCGACAGACAATCACCAATCCCGGCACGGCAACGCGATGCCACGGACATTTTCAACAAAATTCTCTCGTTTTTCCAAATTTATTTTATTTAATGGCAAAATATTCAATATTAAAGTATTTAATATCTAAATATTTTAAATATTCAAAAAATTTTCCAATTTTAACACCACCGAAGATTTACGATGACTGCAAGTCACGATTTCACAAATAGCACACGAAAAAATATTTTACAATATTTACTCCATTGTTTCAGAGATTATTACACTTTATTCACTGCTTTAAATTATTTATTCACTTTATTCTGCTTTTTATTCACTTTATTCCCTTTTTTGTTCACTTTATTCCGCTAAATATCCACTTGATTCATTTTATTCCCTTCATTTCGCTTGTGAGCGAATTTTCATGCCATCTGGGCGGCAATTTGATGAACTGAAATGGCGCGAAATTCAAAAATGTTAATTAACAATCATTAAGGTTATGTAGTTAAAAATTGGTTTTTTATTAAACCAATTTTTAACTATACATAACCTTAATAATTGAAAACTTGGTCAAAATCAAAATCTCTATCATCAAAACTAAAATTTAATAACAATATTTTGAATATTGATATTATATAATATGATATTAATAATATAATATAAATTATAATACTAATATTATATAATATAATATACAATACATAATAAATTTCAACTTGGATTCTTTCTTCTTTGATACAGTGAAATACATTTCTTACTCGATATCCAATAAATTCTCCGTTCAAAATAATAAATTTCTCGTTCGATACATATCAACAGGGATAAATTAGACAACAACCGAGAATATTGTAAATATTGCAATATAAGCAGACATCCAATTTAACATTTTAATGATTGGCCCCAACTTATTGTAAAATAATCACCGAGAAGTTGCCAACAAGGAACTTTTAAATTTTAGCACTTATCTTACACACGACGCACGTTAAATTATTTACAACCCCCCGACGTTAAAATTTTACCTTAGGAAAACTATTTCTTTATACACTCAGGAAAAAATCTATTTCTCTGACCCATACACTCTTTTCTGTACTTTCATTTGAAAAAAAAATACAGCAACCTAAATTCTTTCTTCAGAGCGCGACATAAAATATTTTTCTTGCATAGAAGAAAGAACAAAGAAAACAAGACAGCAAAATATTTAGAATAGCGGGTTTAGTTCATTAAAATAATATTTTTTTAAAAAAAGGTCCGCAATTTGATTGAAAAAGGACGGAAATTTCGTAAATTGTACCACATAATTTAGAGGATTTTAAAGAAATACGAAGTTGAAGTCCACAACGTTTATCAACGAAAAAAATTTATTTAATACTTTCAAATATTATTTTTAATTTAATATTTAATTGTAAAATAATTATTATCAAAATGTAAACATCAATCTTGTTTTTCTAAATATTTTTGGGTAAATATTGATGCGCATTTTTTTATTAATTTACTAAGTAAACAATTTTTTTCCTTGATCAACGTTGTGGACTTCAACTTGATAAAGAAATCACAAATGATTGCAGAAATTCATTATTTATTTTCAAAAGTAAAAAAATTCTTCGCAAACCTTAAATTATTTTCATAAAATAATAAAAATTTTATAGGAATTCAATTATTAACAAATTTTTTTTATAAATTTCTTCGCATATAATTCAATTATTTTCGTAAACAATAAAATTTAGCTTGAGAATAAATTATTTTCGTAAATAATAAAATTTAGCTTAAGACTCAATATTATTTTCGTAAATAATAAAATTTAGCTTGAGATTGAATTATTTTTATAAACAATAAAATATTCTTCTTGAAAATTCAATTATGTTCAAAAATTTTAAAAAAAAATTGTAGTCAAAATTTCAAATATCTTCATGAATACGTAAAAAAATTCTTCTCCAAAATTCAATTATTTCAAAATTTTTTTAATAAAATTCCACGTGGATAAAATTTAATTTAATTTTATAAACAATGAAAATTTTACAGGAATTCAATTATTTAGAAATTTTTAAACAAAATTTATTCGCAATATTTCAAATTATTTTCATAAATAATAAAATTTTTTACAGAGATTCAATTATTTTCATAAATAATAAAATTCTTCTCAGAAATTCAATTATGTTGAAAAATTAAAAAAAAAAATTCTTGTCAAAATTTCAATTATCTTTATAGAAATAAAAAAAATTCTTCTCCAAATTCCAATTATTTCAAAATTTTTTTATTAAAATTCTACTTAGATATTTTATTTAATGTCATAAATAATAAAAATTTTATACGAATTCAATTATTTACAAATTTTTAAAAAAATTTATTCGTATTATTTCAATTATTTTCATAAATAATAAAATTCTTCTCAGAAATTCAATTATGTTAAAAAATTAATAAAAAAAATTCTCGCCATTTCAATTATATTTAAAAATAATAAAATTCTTCTCCAAAATTCAATTACTTTCAAAAATTTTAATAAAATTCTACTTAAAAATTTATAATTATTTTCATGAAATAAATATTTCACAGGAATTCAATTATTTACAAATTTTTTATAAATTTCTTCGCAATAATTCAATTTTTTCATAAATAATAAAATTTTTACAGTGATTCAATTCTTTTTGTACATAATAAAGTTCTTTTTAGAAATTTAATTTTTTTCATAAATAATAAAGCTTATCGCAGAATTTCAATTATTTTTTTAATCAAATTTTAATCAAATTTTTCGGAAAATGTTATTATTCTTAAAAATTTTATTACAAATCATCGAAAGAATTTTATTTTTATTAAATTTTAAATTATTTTTATTATTATTATTTAAATCATTATTATTTTAAATTTATTATTTTATTATATTAAATTTATTATATTATTTCAAATTTTTTAATGTTATTAAAATTTTTTTAAAAAACCTATTATTGTTAAAAATGAAATTCATTTGAAAGAATTCAATTATAAAAATGTTACTAAAATTCGTCGCCACAATTGAATTATATTCTTAAGTTGTAAAATTCTTAGCAGAAATTCAATTATTTTTAATTATTAGGTACAATTTTAATAAAATTACCTGCTAGAATTCAATTATTTTTAAAAATTTTCATATTGCTTGAATTTGAATTGTGAAATTTTCATTATTTTAGAAAATAATTGAATATTCGTGTAGAATTTTGTCAATATTGTTTTTAAATAATTGAATTCTTTTGGGAAATTTTATTAAAATAATAGATAGAAATTATTGAATAAAGAAAAATTTTTGAAAATAATTGATATTTGGCAATGAATTTTATTATAGTTTTTAAAATTCAATTGCTTGGAACTTTTTCCTAAAATTCTTCGGAATAATTCACTTATTTTCATAAATAATAAAACTCATTGTAGAATTTAATTTATTTTTAAAACAATTTTAATCAAATTTCTCGAAAAATGTAATTTTTTAAAAAAATTTAATTAAAATTTGTCAAAAGAATTGAATTAGTTAAAAATTTGTTGATTAAATTCTTTATGAGAATTCAATTTTAAGAAACATTCAAATATTCAATAAATTTTTTTTGTATTTAAATAATTGAATTCTAGTAGAATTTTCTAATAAAAATTGATTGAAAAATGAATTTCAGTTACAATTTTAGATAATAATTGATTTTTAAAAGCAATATATAGCATGAATTTTTAGAAATAATTGAATTTTGATTCGGATTGGTTATATTTTTGATGTACCTAATGTTTTGAACGTTAATATTTTTATTACTTCTTTCAATCCGAATTTTATTTAAAAAAAATTGTTTTTTATCATTAAACAATCTTTTTTAGCTAAATAAATAATTATTTACAATATTTTTTCATTTCACAGGAAAAAAGAAGTGTTATTATAACACTGAAAGTAGTGTTAAAACTACACGCAACATTTTTAACCGACAGTGTGTGATTTTAGCACTTCATTGGTGTTAAAATAACACTGGAATGTGTTAAAACAACATCACCTGAAAACTACATGCAACAAATTCAACACATATTTTTTCTGTTCAGTGTATTAATTTTTAAAAATATTAGAGCACAAAAAAATATTTCGTTCATTTTAACGTTCAAAACTTTAGGAAAATATATTTTTGTCAGTAATTAATTCGTAAATAGTCCATAATTTTTAATTTTTAGTCTGTAAAGTCTGTAATATTAAATACTTTCATTGCATTGAGCCCTGGCTATAGGTGAATAAAAAAATTACAATGTTTAAAATAAATCTTACTTTCAGTCCACTTTTAACTAAAACCGTTTACATTAGAAACATGTTTGACTGAATTTTAACCTAGAGAGTATTATTTTAAGTTCTAACATAGATCTAATCCGCAGTTTTAAGCTTAAAAATAGTCAACTTTTCAAACATTTTAGTTTGAATATACATATATAATATGTAAACGGTTTCAGACTTTGTTTTTTCTGTGTTATTAATGACAAAAGATTCGCTAACTTCAGGGTGATATTAACCAGATAAAACAGATTTTTACGAATAATTAGATGATTCATCTAGTGATGGAAGCAACCTGTTCAGTGATACAAGGACAGGATAACGAACTTTATATAGCATCGAAGAGAGAGAGAGAGAGAGAGAGAAAGAGAGAGTGATTGCAGATTGGAATCTAAATCATGCATGATGCCACCGAGTGATATGTGTACACAAAGAATATAAATGTATATGGCAACGACGTCGCCAGGCCGCCGTCAATCGACTTCTCCAATCAGTCTCCTCTCCTCCATTCTCGAGAGGATCCATTGTAAACTTCTTGGGGCATTAATGACTCCAGTGCAAATCGCTCTCGGCGTAACCTCTTTTACGCCAGAAGACACGTTCCAAGAGGGCGTGACAATGCCCCCCGACACAATGGTGTGCAGTGCATCTTGCCATATACTCCATACATAAGATCAAGATCAAGTTTGCGATCGTGGCACACGTGAACTGCACCACAAGAATTTATTTAATGCTCCATTTCGATAATTAAATCACACACAATATTACGCAACAGAAAAAGAAACTCTTCTCTGTTAAAAATCGGACTTTATATTTACAGCAAATACTTTATATTTCATTCGATTTCTGAACGATCTCAATTTTGGTACCTTTAGAAAAACTGATTACAAAATCAAAGTCCGACACCATACATAAGACGCAAAAAAAAATAACTTTCTCTCACACAATTTATTCTTAAACAAAACAATTGTCCCCCCTAGATCTCATGGGTGTCGCTGACAAAAAAAACAACTTAATACTAATCCTTTTTGTTTGGGAAAGAAAGACAAGAAAAGAAAAAAAAAAGACTTTGAAACCGTGAGTAAAAGATGATCGACCTCTGGGAAAAAAGAAGTTTCAAAAGAGGGATTTGAACTTTTCAAAGAGTCGTGTTGTAAACAGTTAAAGTGTCTACAAAAGTATTTCCGGACTTTTGAGTCTACCCCAAAGAAACAATGAGAAAAACATTTATCCGTTGCAGGCGGGCATTTCAAATGCAATTTCCTCTCCCACTCAAGTTTCTTTAGAACAAAAAAAAAACAAACACCAACGGAATCTGTTATTGTCAATCTAAATTCG